ACTGCTAAATTAGTGACGGCTAGCGCAGATAGCCCTCGTGTAGCTTTGCGCGAAATTCAAAACAAACAAACACAAAAGTTATGTTTTTACAATCTGTGTTTCTTTATATAAAGCATTTCAATACAATGTCTCTTATGCCTAGAATTTCCATTATCTTTAATAATATTTGATATTATACTGTATGACAAATCTTCTTTAAATTCAATAATACACTAGGTGTTTCTTTTTCCCAAGACTGGCCTTTGGTCAGATTCACTTTGACATTAGAACAAGTTAAACATGTCCAGCAAATGAGAAGTCATAAACACACAAGATGTACCACTGTTCTATGGACATCTAGCTATAACTTGCCACACACCAACCACATAACTTCCGAAACATAATTGTTAGAAGTAGAACAAACAAAAGTACACAATGAAGGTTTGGAAACAGAGCACTTGAGAAATAACTAAAGAATTTTCAAACAAACATCTAGAAAATAACATGTAAAGACGTCGAGAACAGACTCTGCTGGGTATTAATGAAAACCTGGTTGTTAGAAATCAACGTCTATGTTCAGAATAAATCACGTAGAGCACAAGGTTAGATAAGTTTTTACTGTTTCGACATCGTTAAGACCGCTAGGTGACTCTTATCTTTAGTAATTTCTAAAACCATGTCTCAAGTAAAATGTTTGTAATTTAAACTGTGTCCTGTAGGAACAACAGAATATAGTGTAACCATACTACTATGTTAAGTGAAGATATGATTAAATTCACGTTCATTTGTTGGAAGTATCCTGTTACCATAGGTGTTTATATTTATTTTTAACCTTTATTTTTTCGTGTCCTGGACACAACTTTAATTCAAGACTCACTATGTTTTTGTACAGAAAGTAAACTTTTTACTCAAACTTGTTTTCCTTCAAAGTTACTTCTGGTTTTGTACGAGAATAAATTTTAGTTCTATAATCAGGTTGCAATTTTTGTGTATATACTCTCTTTAGTTATGTATATCAGGCATTAATGTGTGTATTGTACACTCGTTAGTGGTGTATATCAGATATTAATTTGCACGTGTATAGCGCAAGATGTTAGATTTTGTTTCATTTAAGAGCTAACAATATCAACTGTATTAGAAACCCAAAAGTCACGAAGAACAAGTGGTTTAAATGTGTAAAAAGAACGATCCTCATCTTCTAAATTTTTAAAAAATTAACTGAGTGTTATAAAATTACTAGAAATTTCATTCACTGATTGAACTCATATTTATATATTGGTCTATAATATTTTGGGTATAATCTAATTAGATATCAGAATATCTATGTGATCTAGGGTAATTTCTATCTGATCTAGTGATCTATGGTAATTTTTGTTTCATCTACTGATCTATACGATTTTCTTTCTTATATCATGATATACAGTAATTTGATTTGTGTTCTTAATTAGTTTTGATTCGTTACTTTACGAAAGCTTTACATGATTTAAGCTTATCAACGTAATTTATAACTGAATTTTCCATCTAATTTGTTGCTTTTCATTTAACTTCATGTTGCCAACATGTTTTCTCCAAATATTTATTGTTATGTAAATAAAGGGACAACCGAAATACAATAGGGCCTGAGTAATAATAATGGTTTATTAATTCATTATATACATCTTTGGTTTCGTGCTTTATTCGGTGTTCAGCCAGTTATGTTTATTTATATTTTCCTCCTTCTCAAACACATGAAATCACGACATAAGTTTACATAAGACTGTAAAGTGTAATCATTTAAGAAAGGTACAATAATAAGTGAGTGCCAGGACCCACACATACAAGTCCTTGATAAACACCCACCTGGGTTCATGTCCAGTTTTCTTGTGTTTAAATGTATGCAGATACTTTAATTTCCTCGAGCAAGTTTGGCGTCACTGACAGATCATATAATTTATATAAGTAAAATATTTTGTTAACTCGGCTTTGCTGTATGGCAGTGAATTGGCTTTCGGGAACTTACTGTAAACACAATGCTGGAAACGATTACAATAACACTTTCTCTCAAACATTAAAGTTGAAGTGGGGAAGTCTCTGTCCCAGTGGTTAACGTGGTATACATATGTACTGCATGTTGTATACTCCTTTGCTTAATATACAAATGTATAAAGTTTTTATAAACGCAGATGTATGTGATTCTAACACAGAACATCAGTCATAAAGCTGCTAAGTTTCTTTCGCCCTAGCTAACAATTGTCATTTGTCATTCAACTGTCGTGTTACGTTTGCTTTCTGATGGAAAAAAAAAATATTTGAGTTTAAACTTCCTATGTAGAAGTTGGCGTTGATCTTCCTCTTACAGGTCAGATTATGGCCTAAGAATGTAAACTACCTTATTTTTTGTTTAGAATGAACTATAGCAACATGTGTAGCGCACTGTTTTCTCAGTATAATAAAATAACTACTTACATTTCTAACAGTTCTTACACAGAGATCTCCAGTGAAGGAACAGTTTTTCGTGTACATGTCTTGTCTTTGACTTTTTTTAAAAGTAGCTAATTCTAAAATACTGTAACGTTACGCTGATAATATTTTATTAAACTATCTATTAATCTTATTGGAGCACAGGGCACGTGACCTCCACAAACATTCCAGAATATAGTATAATCATATATAAGATGATCGACGTTCTCTTCCTAAACTAATAAAAGTAGAACAGAACAACTAATGTTAAACTTGCTGACACAGCTCCTCCATCCAGAATTACTCTGTAATGGCGGCTGAGTTTCTGTAAATAATTAATAAAACCAGTTACTTTTAAACACACTAATATTAATGTGATGCAGAGTTGTTGTTTTTTAACAATGTAGTTTATATCAATTAATGTTTATACAGCCTTACCTTAAACTGTTGATGTTCATAACCTTTATTTATCCCTGATATCTTCCATAGTCACGATATTCTCCATCATATCCTCCACTAATCCCTCCACCATATCTTCTATGTTCTGATATTCTAATCCTCTGACCTTCAACTGCAGGAAGAATGAAACAACCCAACAACAAGCAGATGACAAGAACTACAACAAGTGTCGTTTTCATCCTTCACCGCAAATAACCCACCTTTTCATCATAAAATAATAAAGTAAACAGACTGAGTAATTAGGATACTATAGTGATGAACACAAAGTGACAACAAATCCGGTTTGTTCTTTAACAGATATGTCAGATGGATACAATTGTACTTTAAAACTAGACAAAACTTCTTAGTTTGTTTACAATCTTTAGTTCGTATCTACGTTTATTTTATCACTTTAACCACAGACATAGAAGAAATTTCTGACAAGAGACTTAAATATATTGAATAACCTGAATATTACTGACGTTTCCTTAAACTATTAAGTTTATGTAAAATATCTTGTGGTATAACTTTCATAATAAGGGTAGAATAACTTACCTTTTGGTTGATGTTCTCTAGATTTCCGAGGTGGAAGTTTTCAGCTCTGTAAAAATTCGTTTCCTTTATATTTATAAGTAACAATAAGATGTGGTTACGAAACGGTTTGGGTGGGATTCGGTAGATCTCAAGAATACTTCTAACGTTTAAACAATAGACGATGTTTCCTGCAGAAGTTAAATTGTAAAAAAGCTGTCTTCATTTCTATGGTCTCTGATTGGACAGTCAAGAATAGAAAGAGATGTTCCTAAGTTCCTTGTAATAGGAAGTTAAATATTACTAGCTGAGGATAGGCTAGAAGGATGCTGGTTCGATAAGAATTATCACTAAAGTAAGTTTCTGCTGAACGTTAAACTCATGTTTCAAGACTATTTTCTATTAACAGTTGTTCGATATTGAAAACCCATCAGATTCTGGAGAGTTTCTAGCTGAGATATGAAATAATGTTTCTACCGTAAACCCATCAGATCCTGGAGACTTGCTAGCTGACATATGAAATACTGTTTCCACTTTAAACCCATCAGATCCTGGAGACTTGCTAGCTGACATATGAGATAATGTTTCTACTGTAAACCCATCAGATCCTGGAGACTTGCTAACTGACACATGAAATAATGTTTCCACTTTAAACCGCTCAGATCCTGGAGACTTGCTAGCTGACATATGAGATAATGTTTCTACTGTAAACCCATCAGATCCTGGAGACTTGCTAGCTGACATATGAAATAATGTTTCCATTGTAAACCCATCAGATCCTGGAGAATTGCTAGCTGACACATGAGATAATGTTTCTATTGTAAACCCATCAGATCCTGGAGATTTGCTAGCTGACATATGAGATAATGTTTCCATTGTAAACCGCTCAGATCCTGGAGACTTGCTAGCTGACATATGAGATAATGTTTCTACTGTAAACCCATCAGATCCTGGAGACTTGCTAGCTGACATATGAGATAATGTTTCTACTGTAAACCCATCAGATCCTGGAGACTTGCTAGCTGACATATGAGATAATGTTTCTACTGTAAACCCATCAGATCCTGAAGACTTGCTAGCTGACATATGAGATAATGTTTCTACTGTAAACCCATC